TAATAATTGATTGTGCTTATCTTAGAGGGATTGAATGGATTGTTAGCTACTAAGAGTTGTTTAAGCGAAATCATTCATTTTTTTTATTTTTTTTAACATTATCCTTATATAATCTTTTTAACATATATTTAAAATAAAGTTTTGAACCAAAATATCATTTTTTAAAATTTTTGTATTATATGTAGTGATAAATAAGGCTAAAATTGATTAATGATATGATTACACTGAATTTTTCTTAGTAATATTATTATTCCAGTTGTTAATATGCTTAATAATCAAATTATATTATATTAACTATTTCTTTCTTTTCCTTCTTCTATATCTATTTGTAAACCAAGTATTTAAGAAACTTTGAATCTTATTAGACATTTTGCATTATTGGTCAAAACAAGAAAAAAAATTACATATTTTGCATTTATAATATCTTTAATTTTTTTCACAAAATGTCAATAAAATTATTACTGATATTATTATTATTAAGATTGCTAGATAAATATTAGGCATTTAAATAGTAAAGGTAAAACTTGGTTAAATTAAATTAAAACCTTATTAAAAAATCTGTATATCAAAGCTTATAAAAATGGTAAATCTAAATGTTTAGAAATCCAAAATGAGTAATCTTAATTACTATTATTATTTTATTAAGTAAAAAGAAGATTTAAATACAATTTCTTGTAATTTCTTGCCTTTTAATTCCTAGCTTATAAATTTAACATAAATAGTAATAGTAACTAAATATTAATTTTAAACAATTAGAATTTAAGGTCTTATTAAAATAGATAAATTATAAATAATTTCAATAATTTTATTATCTATTATAATAAATTCTATTAGTTTATTTTTAATTTTATTCAACATGTATTTTCTATATATTTAAAACTAATAATTTATTTCAATATTAATATTATTAAAAATAAAAAAAAAAAACATATATTGAATAAAATAAAAGTAAAACCAAATAAAATAATAAATACAAAATAAAAATATACATCAATTGTAAATTAAACATTATTTTTTAAAATAAAAAATTCTTAAAGAAATAGGTTATGAAATAACATTTATAACATTTATAATACTATTTTAGATAGAAAAACAATTATCAATTTTATAAATATTTTAAATATTTGGTTTGATAAAATCTTAAATATTTAATAAAAATTTATATTATATATAATATAAAGAGAAGAAATATTTTAAAGAAAATATAAGAAATTACAAAGATTATATATATAAGAAAAATATAAATTTCATTATAATTGAATAATCTTTTTGTAAAATTAAGATATATAGGATAGACTGCAACAAAACCAGACAAAGTGAATATTTTATTATATGATATAAATGAGAAAATGTGACTGTAAAATTGATTAGTATAATTGATAACATTTTAAAAAGTCATAATAGTATTCATTCATAACTTATAGACTTGTTAATTTTAATGTTCACTTTATCATACTAGTATGTAATGAATATAAACTATAACAGAATTAATATAGAGTTATCTCTATATAAAAATATAATATGAAATTAATTTACATTAAATCTACTATGGAACTTAAGAATTACAGCACCTAAGGTTGCTTGTCTAAACTCATTTTGGATTTGGCAAAACAGTTAAACCCTTAGTTTCGCTAAATTTTACTAAGTGTTTGATATAGTTTCGCCATTTTTATAAGCTTTAATATAGTTTTACCTTTTTTCAAATTTCACAAATTTTTTAATAAGGTTTTAATATAATTTAAACAAGTTTTACTTTTACCATTTAGATGTTTATCTAAACTCTTAATTTTGTCCAGCAACCTTAACAGCACCATTAGAAGCATTCTAAAAAAAACTTAAGAAGAAAAATTGCGTCTTATATTTTTAAAATTAATAATATCTAAACTCTTCAGAAATATTTAGATAAAAAAAAATTACTTATCAAATTTATTAAAAAGAATAAAATAATAAACCATAAATAAATCTTAACCTTTACTTATGATAAACTAAAAAAAAAATGAAAATTAAAAGACAGGTAAGGGAAAGCAGTTTAACTTTCCTTATATTATAAAGTTTATTTGTGTGAAGTTGTAATAAAGCATGAAGCCAAGAAGAACTCCAATCAGTAATCTACAGTAAAATTTGTTAGGGAATATAGGCATTTTCAATTTGTTAAAAAGTAGTTTTTGCAATTGAGTCTACGATTAATTAAATTGACGATTGTTAAGTATAAATAAATATAGATTCTGACGGTCTTGCTTTATATATAGTAATTTTATGCGTTTATAAAAGGTAAGCTGATTTGTCAAAATTCTAAACAAAAATCATTTGATTTACCTTTGAATACTTTTCCTTTTGATGATAAACAAAGATTATTTCAAACACATAAAATACATCTTAAGCATATTTGTTATTCTTTATAGTAGTATGACAATTGCTAATTAGTATTAGTTAGAACTTATATTATATGAAAATTTAGAGACAATGTTCTATCAAATAAAGAATATAGGTATTTGTACTAGTAGTACGACAAAATACTGAACCTAATTAAAAAATGCAGTAAATACGTAAACTGAATCAATAAAATATGCACATCAAATCACAGGGCAACAATTAGGCAATATAATTTGATGCTTGCAATTGCAAGATATAAATGTGTACACACTACATGTTCATTTTCCTCTCATAACATAACAACACAATATAGACCAACTTGAAATGTTCAAATTTGCTCTTTAATATAGAAGAGACTATCCTGAAGCTACCAAAGAAGAAGCTATTCAAAAATATATAGAGTCCAAACAAGGTAAGTAAGCAATGAATACATGTTTATTGGAAGGATAGTTGAAATGCATTATGATATGTGTTAGGGTTAGAACATAGAGCAGAGTCGTAGCAAAGATTAGGTTATACGTAAATTCATTTGAAAGAAGACAAGAAACAGTATGGTTTAATAAAGGAATAATGAAGAGATAATAGTTTGAATGCTGCTATCTATCGCAAGCATTCTATATGTTTAGTTTTCTTATTATATTCTGCTTGTTCACCTTTGAGGAATACTATTTATTGCTCATATATTATTTTTATCTATTCATTCAAGAGGAAGTTTTATATACTGATAACTTGTGTTATTTGCAATATTCATTAACTTATATTTTCTTCTTTTGCATTCCTTTTTATCTCTTTTCTTCTATTATCAAATTCATCTTCTTAGGAGAAGGTAAGCACTTAGTCAATGTACATTTCAAGTATAAATAGATTATCCTGTTTGCTACCCATAATTTGTTTCATTATATAGATGTAAGGTTGCTATATACGCCAAGGCAAGGTATTGTTACTTCAGTACAGTGAACTCTTGATATAACGAATTCTAGGATCTGGATATCAACTTCGTTATAAGCTTATAACGAATTTTTTAAAGAATTTAATTGGCTAGTTCACTATAATAAGGTAATTTTAATATATTTGATTTAAAAATTCGCTATATTAAGAGTTCGCTATATCAAGGTTTGACTGTATACGTTTGCATTGTTTTCATTTTAAACAATTCTAATATCTTACTTTTGTATAGGAGGTTTTGGTGGAACTCTGTTCATGACAACTGAAGGAAATCGAGTTGATAATTATGAAGGAATTGACTTCAACAGTTCTGATATCTACCTCTGCGAGCAGACAATCCAAAAGCTTGTCAAAAAGATCTGGAATGCAAGTGTTTTACTCGTTTGATCTCCACTCATATCTAGAAAAACTTTACTAGGCCAACTATTAAACCTAAAGATCCCAACATTCAAGTCATTCACATCTTGCTCTTATGGATAGGCATTCCTAGTGGATCCTGAATATTTAAGGAGGAGTTTTAGCGACTTATGGTTCAACTTAGAAAAAATTTCAAGATAAGTATAATCACATTCAAACTATTTATGTTGATGAAGTTCAGGTATGAAAGTTTCTTTATGTAGCATCTTTTATTTTGATTTCCTGTAGACTCTGACACTAGCAAATTTTAGATGCTTTATATGACACAAGGTGAACCTATGAATATTTTATATCACAATAGCAATATCTTTTGAAAAGCATTTAAGCGGTACTAGTAGGGTGGTAACTTATTTATTATTGCCTTTGCTGCATATGGCTACAAGAGTGCGTGAGATTATTCATCTGTTGCAACTCATATAATGAATGTATTACTGTTTGTGAATAAGAACACATAGGTATACAAGACATACGCTTCACTAAGAATGAGTACAAAGATTACTTTTTATCCTTTTGCAGAATGCATCTCAGAAAATGATAAATGAAAATGATATTACATACTTAAAGGAATATGTGCACAATACAACAGCTCGTCACCTGGACTTATTGCATTTTTCATGAATCATATTAAAGACTACAGTCAAACCTTGATATAGCGAACTCTTGATATAGCGAATTTTTAAATCAAATATATTAAAATTACCTTACTATAGTGAAGTAGCCAATTAAATTCTTTAAAAAATTCGTTATAAGCTTATAACGAAGTTGATATCCAGATTGTAGAATTCGTTATATCAAGAGTTCACTGTATTTCTTTTGGTAACTGAAATATGATGATACGTTGACATTTGAAAGGATTTTCATATACTTAAAATTATATATATTTATGAATGCAGTAGATTCGACAAGTATTTTTTCAATTTCATTTTGCATTATGAAAAATTATTATATTATCATACTTATTAATCTTATTATTTCAGGGCTTTCATGAGTATTTATACATGCAAAATTTAACCCCAGAAGAAATTCAACTTTGTGATAGAGTATTCTGAGAATCTATTGATCCCAGACGTCAGTTGACACACTGGGAAAAGAGACAAGGCTAGTCAAGACAAACTTACTCAATAAATAAGACAGGAAACTCGATTTTACTTTACCCTACCTGTGCTTGCTTTATCTGTTATCTGCAGCAGTGTTTTAGGAACATCACTAGGTCAATGATTTCTCCTCGAGATTTCAAAAGCTTCCTCCATAAAACCTTCACCAATATGAATGCTGAGTCTATATGGAAATCATATTCTATTGGTAAAGATAAACAACTTTTGGAACTTGCTTGGCAAATAGAATTTTATCAGACCATTACTCAAGTCCTACCTTCTGACATATTCATTTTTGCTAATATCAGAACATATTAGAGGTCAAGTAGATATGTAGATTTCTTCATGAATGATGGCTAGAGTTGGACAATCGAGTTACTACAGAATGGTGCAGATGCGTCTTGCCATAAGAGTCACTTCGAATCAGGTGGTATCTATGAATCTATCAGAAATGTTTGCAAGAAATGGGTTATCATTGACATTCAATGTCCTGATTTTTGTAATGGAAAACCAAAGTATAGTAGTGATTATCATTGGATAAACATATATTGTTTAGGAGAATGAAAGTCTATTATAATAGAAGATAAGAATGGGAAAGTTGAGGTTCAGCTCATGGGAGAGTATTAGTAGAAAGAGTCAAATAAGATTTTAAAAGAAAACATATATACATTGCATTATTTTAATTTCTAATTATTTCGTCTTTACATTACAATTATTATTTTTCATTTCTCAGTTTACTTTACACATATGCTACTGACAGGTAGCTTACTTGAAATATATTTGTAGAAAATGTCCTACAAGTTATATCAGTTTATTGTCTTTGCTTTTAATCTGTTTCTTGCGTAATAAATATTGAATTTTCATTTACAGACGTATATTTTTATCATTATACTCATAAAGAGTTCTTCGTAAGAGAATCTGTGTATAGTTACAAATGATAAAAATTATATATAGGAATACCTGTATATGGAAAATTATAATTATAATAGTTTAACCAAATATGAAAAGGCAATACATTTCTTAGAGGTAGGTTGTAATTGTGGTTACTCAAAAAAAATTCTGAGAGAAAGGTTTGCTAAATTATATGAGACATTTCAAGCTCTCTCTAGATCTGAACAAGATATATTTTAATGGCCTAACTGAAGGCAATAAATAGCAGAAAAATAACTGCCAGCCATTATCTTAAAAAGAAAACGTGTACTAATAAAAGAATTTTTTACTATTGAGATTGCAATACACCTCTGTATCAGAAAACGTATTTCTATATGTTAGGAATTAGTCATACTCACTTCGAAAATGTCAGAAATCACTTAATGATGAATAGTATAATACTACATTTTCATGGTAACATAAAATGAGTACCACAATAGAAAACCAAAAAATCCATTAATATAACATAACCATTGCTACATCTGTGAAATTTTTTTTCAAATCTATGCTGAAATTCATGGATTATCAAATCCTGGTAGAAATATCAATCGCATTACTCAAACGCTTACATTTTTGCCAGCCAAAACTAATTATAAATCAGTCTATTGTAATTTTATTACAGGTTTTGAAAATGATAGCACATCAAAATTATTAAAATATAACATGTTTCGCAAGTTATGACACTAACTAACGACTTATATTCAAATCATGAGTTTACCAGATTTATATAATACATGCTAACATTTTCGGAATAATTTATAGTAAAAGAAGAAGCAAGAGATTTACTAAAAAGGTACAAAGAACATTTAGTTAAGACTAAATTAAAGAGAAATTATTATAACAAAAATATGAAATTGGCAGAATAATAGAGAAAATTGGTAGATGATAATTATGCTGAAACAGAAGGTAACGCTAATTATTGTAGCATTAAAGCTACTGCTCATTACAGTTATGATTGAGCACAAAATGTTCACATGTCCCATTCTGATCAACAGGTAAGATTGATTTATTATCTTAGTCTGCGTAAAATGCATCTGAGATGAAGCAATACACGAACAAATTAATTACATTTTTGATGAAGACAAAATTATCGGCAAAGGTCCTAATAGCATCCTGAGTCTGGTATTTATAGAATTAAGAGACTAAATAAAGGTGAAAAACATCTGAAAATTATTTGTGATAACGTGGATGGTCAGAATAAAAATAATGCTACTGTTATCTTACGATACTAACGACTGAAAATTAGTATTAACGCAAGATTAACAAGGGATTTAGCTTTAAGACTTTATGATACGATTTAT